AGGCTTCGTTCACATGCAATGTCTATTTTCTATTTTCTATTTTCTATTTTCGGTATGTCTTATGATCACGGTCTGTGCACTGAATATCCCGCCGCGTAATTACTGGCAGCGCGAGCCAGTTACTTATAGTAACTTATAGTAACTTATAGTAACTGGCTCGCGCTGCCAGTAATTACGCGGCGGGATATTCAGTGCACAGACCGTGATCATAAGACATACCGAAAATAGAAAATAGAAAATAGAAAATAGACATTGCATGTGAACGAAGCCTTAGACTTGGTTATAGAAAACCTCCAATGTAAGTTGTAAATTGTATAATATTTGATTTAATAAAATGATAATATTCAGCATTACACATTGCATGTACCAATCTCTTACCTCCAGAAACAAACATGATGCGTTGGACTCATTGATAACAAGATTTCCACACCTGAATGTTGGAACCTGAAAGTAAAATCAGCATGTCAATTAATTTAGTTAATCTGTGATGGAAATGTTTGACCCTTTGTTTGACCTACTACATGTTTGTAGGTCCATAAGAATCTACACTGGCCAAATCAATTCCAAGGGCCAAATGAAAACTGAAAATGCACAAATTAACATATTTTTACTGCTTAGATTTTACTGGTTTTCAATGCCAAGGCTGGTATGTAACTATATATGATACAACAATGAATGTGGCCTACAAGAATGTAATTATATTGAGGTGAAGCAATTATCCTATTGTTTGAAGCAACAGCTGTGGGATAATATGTACTGTTTATATTAAAATGAATTAATAAAATTTTCTTTAAATAAACTAGTATAACTTATATAGGCACACAGTCCAATTGGCAGTTGCATAATGTTTACTCATCCTTAGTGCAAACAGTTACTATGTTTACTTAATGGTTCAATTATTGGCTTGCTTAAATGACTCGGTCTTCAAGACTGCAATATGATTTCGAACATAACTAGATGTACGTAAAACTACAAAAATTGCTTGACATGGTGACACCAGTTGGAAGTACAGTAATAATGATTCAATCACCAGCCCAGCAGTAGTCAACATCCATGTACCCAGTACTTTCTTATTGTGTAACTTGACTCACCTGTCTAAATTAAGGCAATACATGGGATTTCTGTTGCCTTAGTATATCCCTACTTTGAATTTTAGTAAATTACCTGTCCTTATATCTTAAGAGAATGCAACATTCTTTTTAAATGATGAAAACCTTTACACAAGCCTTAAAAATTTGCAGACTAAAGGAAAAGCAAAGCAAGTGAGGCACTGCACCCATTTTAGTTTTTTTCTTCCCCAATCCCCCCCCCCCTTTTTTTATGCAACTCTTTTCAGTCTCATTTACAGCTCCTATTAGACAAACATAGAATAATCGTAGTTGTCACTTAAACCTCTAGGAAATTTAATTTACCTGTCCGCGAGGGTTCAGCTTAAGCACTTCATCAGATTTGTGCCCCTTCTCTGAGAACGAAATTATCTTCTTCTCGCAGTCTGACAGTCCTTTCTCCTCCAGTACTATCATCAGGCGCCAGCAAGGAGGACTACCTGAGCCCCAGTAAAGAAGCATGTCTTTGCCTGTGCCTGCCATTTTCGCTTGTTACAAGACTGAGAACAACACACCCTAAAAATGCAAGTCACTGTGGCAGCTTTTAAGTTGGGATTGGTGGGCAGACCGGAAACAGTGGACATATAGCCCTCTAGAGGCAACTTATGAATGTGGCAATTCAAAGCTGGCAGTCCTTGGAATGTCTTACCCTATATATTGATTGTTTGAGGGTAAACACTCGATCACTGTTTGACCATTTTCAAATGGATCTCTTATGGAAGATAAAGGCCACCAACGCCCACCCTAATACCCCTCTTCAGTGATTAAAGATTGCGTAAAAGGCTTTACTGAAGAGAAAGGATGTGAAAACAATTGTATTGTCATTTTAAATTCTGTCATGCGGTGTACTAGCTATAATAGAACATTTCTAGAGAGAAAGAGCTAAATTAATGCAGTATTTTTAAATTCCATTTCTGCCATATACATTGATGAATGCGCAAAGGACTCTTTAAAGAAGAAAATTTTCTGCCGAAAAAAAAAATGAAAATTACGCATACTTCATATACCTTACTGTTGTAATGATATGCACATATTATAAAAGCAGGGATTGAAACCCAGGAGTGATTTTTTTAACGATAACTTAAAGCTTTAATTGCTTTTTTGTAAAAAAAAAAAACTCGCCCACTAAAAGCCATCTCGGTAAATAGCAGATGGCTGCATAGAGCTTACACAAGGTTTCCTCCTTGTAATGTTGACTTAGTACTTTGTACAGTTGTCACGTAGCACCACATTAAGAATTATCGATCTCCAGTCATAACATAACCATCATTTTTTTCTATGCTCTCTTTTATTGATTCGATCAATAGGTATATTATAAATCTTTGCAAAGAAAAGGCTCTGCTGTAAGTACAAGTAAAAACAGTTGATTATCCTGATCAGATGTTTCATTGGCATAGGCAATAGAAAAATACTGTATTTTGTAGAATCTAATGCTTTCATTATAAATCATATCACACCTCAAACAAGGTCAACATCTTCCCTGTTTCCCTGTTTACATTTAAACTAAATAATTATTAAAGGAAAAAAATTCTTAAAGAAGCCAAATGCCATCTAAAGCAATAACTATCAAATGACATTCAATATTATGCCTGACATCGATTATAAAAAGTCCTTTTGTATTAATTACTGGCTCCAAGAAGTACATAATTATTACTTTGTCACAGCACTAATGCTGCCACAACAAGGTCTCAAATATTTGTCTATTTTATAAAAAATTTTCATGTAACTGGTTTCATACATTTAACTGCTTAATTAGCCCTGTTAACCCTGAACTAGGTGCATTAAAAAAAAGAATAAGAAAAAAAACTGACAGCCATACTGGTTAATATGCCTTAGTCTCCCTGATGTTTTAAATTTTTTTTCTTTTATAATACAATGTGAATCTTCCAACTTTATTCCACCTAAATATCAAATAAAACAGAACTTGAATTCTTAATTTTGCTTATGAAAGGAACAGCTCAGTTCATATTGTATACAACAGAACTTTTGATACATTTATGTTATGTTAAAACAAACGAAAGGCACAGCTCTGTAACAAAAAAGCTGTCATGCTGTATTTGTATATCACAAACAGCACACTTACTAATCTATGACTACACTGATACATTATCAATTTGTGCCAAACAGGCTTGTTCTCTTGAATGATATATTTGAATTTATAAAATGTATATCTCACAAATAGTTTAATGCTTAATCATGCCTACATACAGAATGTTGTCAACTACACAAATAGTTTTAAAGTTGTATTGTGTTTACAACTGTAGTCCATCATTTTCCTCATTTTCCACTGAACAACAAATACTTCTATCTGTACTAACAAAAAATGTGTTTTTTATGCAATGGCAAGCAATATGCATGAAAAAAAAAATTGTAGAGATGGATTCCAAAGGCATAACCTACATCAATACCCCTCCTGAAGTGCATGTATATGGCTTTACAACACATCTGCCAGGTGGGGTTTGCCTTCGGTGTCCTTAAAATGGGGTGGCCAGGATTTCTCAACAGAAGGACGCTTGCTCACAGCATCGTAGTAGGCAGCCAGCTTGGGGAATGTAGGGGCAAGCTTCAGACCACATCGGACTAAAAATGCCAGACTTGGGAAGAAAATGGCATCTGCCATGGTGAACTCTCCTCCATCAAGAAAAGTTCCCCCTGCCTAGAAAGGAAGACTATTTCTATAGCAACTTGACTAAAATTTAACTGACAATCATTTTTCAAGTCAACACCCTCACTCCCAAAAGATTAATAGAGTGCTTACGAAGATTTTGCCCATCAATAATATTATGGACTACTTGAGCAGTTGTAGTAAGATAAAGCTATTTCTCTTCTGTAGGCTAGAGACAGTCAATTTATATGGAGAGAGAGAGAGATGATCAATCTTGCATGACATTACCTGACACAAACTGTAGAATTTTCAAATGATATATTAATTATTACAAACAATGATATTGGCTCCTCTTTTCTTTAACTTCTATCTAAATTCGAAGTAATAATCATACAAGAAGTCTTAGAATACATTAAGAGTAGTCAGGTGTACAGGTAGTGCTTTCTAAAGATTTCCTCAATATGTGAAGTACTGCTGAGCTCAGTACATACTTTCACTAGATATCCCTCCCACATTGCCAGTTCCTCCTTCAGTGCTGCCTTACTTTTTGTCATCTTTTCCTGAAATAAAACATAGTATTACAAAAAAGGTATTTTATGTAACTGGTATAAATCTATTTATATCTTCTACTGAAAAAAATAAGTCTCATGCATGACTTATATCCCATATAACATATCTAGTATATTCCATATAACATATCTAGTATATTCCAGGGACTAATCAAACTTAACCATCAACTTCAATGCCCCTTTATTTCTATATAAGAATATTTTATTTCCTTATCATTTTTATTTTTAAGCCATCTCATGTTCCTATTTACCTGGTCCAACTCTTCTGGCTTTTTGAACATGTATAAGTACAGAAGATCTTCCATTGCTTTCTTGGTGAAAGATGGCACCTAAGGAAACATAAAAAACATTTCAAGTTAATACTGAGACTAGAAAGTAGCATATCATAGGGTGTGTGTGTGTGTGTGTGTGTGAGAGAGAGAGAGAGAGAGAGAGAGAGAGAGAGAGAGCGAGAGAGAGGGGAGGGATGGAAGGAATGAGTGAAAAATAATGTCCCACCTCAAACATTCTCTGCAGAACATTGGCCTTCCTGGCTGGCTCACTGGGAATCAGAGGAGGTCCCTGGGATTTGTAGGTGTCCTGAAAAATTGAAGTTTCACACTTTACTTTCACACTTTCCTTTTGCTGCTTCAAAGGATTTTTGAAAAGCTTTAAACAAGCTGATCTTCAAATACAAGTGCAGAATTTTTAACATCAGTATCATAATACTTTTATGAAGTGTAGGATCACTTGCTTACCTCCAGGTACAAGCATGCCGCAAATGACTCGTTGATGATGATGTCCCCACACTTGAACGTTGGAACCTGGAAGTTTAAATTCATGTATAATTGACATTATGCAAATTTTCTTTAACATGCACACATTTTAAATAAATCAGCTAACCTGTTTTGGTACAGTATACAGTTTTTTTTCCATGATACATTAGGTCCATTGTACACCGACTGTATAGGTTCCAGTTACAGTGAAAACATATGATACCAGGGCACAAGGAAGAAAAATATGCTTGCTTTTATCTCATTTCACTGGTTATAGTGGTACCGACTTACTGAAGGGGGAGTAGGAGAAGAAAAGGGGTACCTCCATTAAGTAAAGGGGAATGTGTGCCACAAACTGAAGTCTCACTTAACATCAAACTGACATGTAATAACACTTCATATTTGCTCATCATAACTCAGGACCTGCAAAGAAATTTCTCCTCAACAGATCTTGGCCAAAAGATAAACACTGCTTTGAGTCCAAGATACAGGGCCGTAGCCTGAGCAAAATGCCAGGGGGGCAGTAAGCGGACACGAGGGGGCGAATTAGCTACTGAGGTGGGAGGGTGTGGTGTGTAAAATTCCAAATTTGCATATATCTCAGGGCCGTAGCCTCCGGGGAGGGGGGGGGGCATTTTGGAGCCCTGAGATATATGCAAATGTCTGAAATGTACTTAAATGTACACTGTAATTTGGTGTTCATGCAGAATCCAAATAATAATTTAGTTATTTTGGAGTTAAAAGCAATATTTTGATGTCATTTGGGTGATAAGGGTGACCTGGACAAACCCGGCAGTACCTAAGGTCAAACATTTTTGTAAAGAGACTTCACATGTCGAAATGAAATGCAAGCTAGCAAAGTGTCACTGTCAGAAAACTAAATTATATATACGATCATTTGGCAGCTACCGGTAGACTACACTTGTGCACGCCAAGAGCTGTAGATCTATATGCGATTCCTCTATAAAAATCCAATTAAGTAAACTTGTCCACTTAATCACTGATGCTCACAGCGTACTTACCTGTCCGCGAGGGTTCAGCTTGAGGATTTCGTCCGATTTGTGCCCCTTATCTGAGAACGAAATAAGCTTCTTCTCGCAGTCTGACAGTCCTTTCTCCTCCAGTACAATCATCACACGCCAGCAAGGAGAGCTGCCCGAGCCCCAATAGAGGAGCATGTCTTTGCCCGTGTCTGCCATTTTTGCTTGTTCCTAAAGATTGCGTAACTTAAAAAATGCAAGTCACTGTTTTCCACCGAGATGTACAGGTGGTGTCCCTTGTGCGCGTGCACGTAACCCGAGCCCTAGATAAGCCGGGTACTCTCGGCTGATTCCGTACAGACACGGAAATACCCGAAGTTTTCAATGCAGAAAATGTAGACTGGGTATAAAGACTGATTTTAAAATAGACTCACCATGTGAAGGCTGATAAGTCAAAAATATTTATATTTTTTTATATCCGTTAAAACCTCCATTTTCGATTGGATGTATTCGTTTCCCCCCTTTATTTGTGAGGTAGAGAGATGTTTGTTTACAAGCTGAGCATTTTACCGATCGAGGCCCGTCCTAAAGTGCGGCCGCTAACTGTTGTGGCAACAGTATCAGGAAGCTATCATGATCAACCGAGCTATAACAGGACCAGGGGCGGATTGAGACTGTCTTCTGGGTCCTCCAGAATACGGTCAGATTTTTAAGAGCGAAAATGATGATAAAAAATCTGAAAAATGGATTACCCCCTCGGCCTATTAATCAGATCCATGTGCCTATAAGTAAACTTTTTATATTTTTAAAATTATAGCCTTAAAATGATAATAACCAATTCTTCACTTCTTTAAAATATTTATTCTTCACTTCTAAAACCATTAACCTATTTAAAAAAAAGCGCATTATAACTTAATTCTCATTTCAAATCAAAGGTTAATTAAATCACGTTTATTAAAACCAAAAATATTTGGTGGTTAATCAGGTTTATAAAAGTAAAATTAAAAAAGAGAGATACTACTGTCATGTAACACAACATTAAGTATTATCTGATCTTGAGCCGTAACAGAAACATTATCACTTTTTTGTGCTCTCTTTTATTGATCTGATCAATAGGTCTTTGTAAAAAATATTTGAAATATTTGATTATCTTGCTCAGATGTCTCCTTGGCATAGACAATAGAAAAATACTGTACTTTGTAGACTAATGCTTTTCATTATAAATCATATCACACCTCAGACCAAGTCAACATCTTCTGGATACCTGTTTACATTTACACTGAATAAATATTAAAGAAGCCAAATGCCGTCTAAAGCAATAACTGTCAAATGACATTCAATGCCGGACATCGTTTTTAAAAAAGTCTTTTTGTATTATTACTGGCTCCAAGGAGTACATATTACTTTGTCACGGCACTAATGCTGCCATAACAAGGTCACAAATATTTGTCTATTTTATACAAAATTTCCAAGATCACATTTCATATAACTGGTAGTAATCTGTCTCATATTAATTTTTATCAAAGAGGTAAACATAGAACTATAAGTGTTAAACAGTTACAGGAACTACATATTTATTATTTGTTGTATGTCATTTTATCTAATTATATGTCACTATTACAGGGTGAAAATTTTAGTTATACCAATAAAGATATTTTAAACCACAAGAGAGTCCGTTGCTTATGAAAGAGTCAGCACTGCAACAAATAAAAAGTTTAATCACACATAGTCACAGTATATTTTTATATCTCAAATAACAAACTTGCTAATCTGTGACTACATTGATACATTATCAATTTGTGCTAAACAGTTGTATTCGTGAATGATATATTTGAATTAGATTTTTTATCTCACAAATAGTTTAATGCTAAATCATGCCTACATACAGAATGTTGTCAATTTCACAAATAGTTTTAAAGTTGTATTGTGTTTACAACTGTAGTCAATCATTTTTCCATTTTCCACTTAACAATAAATACTAGTTCTAGAGTATCTGTACCAATAAAAAATGCTTTTTTATACATTGGCAAGCAATGTGCACATATGAAAAAATTGAGCTGAATTCCAAAGGCGTAACCTACATCAATACCTCTCCTGGACTCTACAGATCAGCCAAGTAAGGTTTTCCTTCAGTGTCCCTAAAATGGGGTGGCCAGGATTTCTCAACAGAAGGACGCTTGCTCACAGCATCATAGTAGGCAGCCAGCTTAGGGAATGTAGGGGCAAGCTTCAGACCACATCGGACTAAAATTGCCAGACTTGGGAAGAAAATGGCATCCGCCATGGTGAATTCTCCTCCATCAAGATAAGTTCCCCCTGCCTACAATGGAAGACTTTTTCTATAGCAACGCGACTAAAATTAAACTGAGGACAATCATTTTAAAGTCAACACCCTCATTCCCAAAAACGTGCTAACAAAGGTTCTGCCCATCAATATTATTATGTACTACTTCAGCAACTGCAGTAAGATGAAGCTATTTTTCTTCTGTAGGCTAGAGACAACTTTTTAAATATATTGAGAGTGAGAGAGAGAGAGATGGAGAGAGAGAGGTGATCATTCTTGCATGACATAACCCGACACAAACTGTAGAATTTTCAAATGATGTGATAATTATAATAAAAATAATTTCGGCTTCTCTTTTCTTTGAGTTTAGCTTCTATCTTCATTCAAAGTAATAAGAGAAGCCAGGGGCTGTATTGCCACATAAGTCCAAGTTACAAATTCATGTAAATATATAGTTACAAATTGTTGTAAGTTACAAAGTTTCGAGAATACGACCCCAGTTGTACATGTACAGGTAGTGCTTCCTAAAGATGTCCTCCATATGTAAAGTCATAACTGCTTCGCTCAGTACATACCTTCACTAGATATCCCTCCCACAATGCCAGTTCTTCCTTCAGTGCTGCCTTACTTTTCGTCATCTTTTCCTGAAATAAAACAGTATTACAGAAAATGTATTTGTAACTATAAATCTATTTATATCTTCTATGATTAATATCCCCCATAATTTAGTATACTTAACCATCGATGTCCTTTTCATTTCTATTATATACATCATTTTTATTATTATTTTATTATTCTTTTTATGCCTAAGCCATCCCATTTTTCTACTTTACCTGGTCTAACTCTTCTGGCTTTTTTGTCATGTATAGTAACAGAATATCGTCCCTTGCTTTTTTGGTTAATGTTGGCTCCTGAGGAAACATAACCAACATTTAAAGTTAATGCTTTAGAAATTAACATATTGTATATTGAGTATATGGTTGTATACGCGCGCGCGCGTGTGTGTGTAAGAGAGGGAGAGAGAGAGAGAGATGGGGGGAAAGAATGAATGAAAAAATAATGTCCCACCTCAAACATTCTCTGCAGAACATTGGCCTTCCTGGCCGGCTCACTGGGTATCAGCGGAGGTCCCTGGGATTTGTAGGTGTCCTGAAAAATTGAAGGAAAATTTTCACTTCACCTTCACACTTTCCCTTTGCTTCCTCAAATATCTTTTTTGAAAATCTTTTAACAAGCTGATCTTCCAAGACATATGCAGAATTATGAACATCAGTATCATAATAATTTTATGGAGATTCATACACAGTTATACAGTTCACAATGACACCATCTAGCAGAAAGAGAGACGGGCCCACAGACGCAAGGGAATATGGGGGTTGGAGAGATCAGGGCCCCGTAACTCGAAAGCATCGCTATTGCGACCGAGCGCAATAGTCTCGATTACATAACTCGCCCAAACTCGCCCCATATAATACATTGTAGCCTCTATGTGATATCGCTATTCGCAGTACGCGATGCTTTCGAGTTACGGGCCCTGGTCGGCTCTGGATCCTACAGCGCACACGTGTCGATCTCTTACCTCCAGGTACAAGCATGCCGCAAACGACTCGTTGATGATGATGTCCCCACACTTGAATGTCGGAACCTGGAAGTTTAAATTCATGTATAATTAATATGACGCAAATTTCCTTTAATATGTGCACAATTCCATTAACTCAGCCCTCCTGCCATGGGGCAGTATATATAGGTTTTTTTTACTCTTCTTTAAGTAAACATGTATCCCTTGCGACTTTCGTTTTTAACAACCCTAGGTCAAGTATTGTTGTAAATGAACTCCCACGAAATGAAACGCAAACACGGTGTCACTGTCAGAAACCTCTGATCACTTGGCGGATTTGGCAGCTACATTTGTGCACGGCAAAGCTGTAGACCTATGCTATTCCACTGTAAAAACCCAATCAAGTAAAAATGTGCACTTTAATTACTGATGCTCATAGTGTATTTACCTGTCCGCGAGGGTTCAGCTTGAGGATTTCGTCAGATTTATGCCCCTTATCTGAGAATGAAATAAGCTTCTTCTCGCAGTCTGACAGTCCTTTCTCCTCCAGTACAATCATCACACGCCAGCAAGGAAAACTGCCCGAGCCCCAATAGAGGAGCATGTCTTTGCCCGTGTCTGCCATTTTTGATTGTTCCTAAAGATTGCGTAACTTAAAAAATGCAAGTCACTGTTTAGCACCGTGTTACAGGTGCCCAACAGGCAAACGACATTGATTCAATGTTGATTCAACATATTTTTTATTGAACAACGTTAAATCAACATTGAATCAATGTCGTATGCCAGCTGGTGGAGTCCCGTGTGCGCGTGTACGTAACCCGAGCCCTAGATAAGCCGGTGTAACAGGAATGGAAGTCCTAGGAATGGAAGTCCAGGCTCCCATATGATTAGTACAGGTTAGGGTTAGTTGGAATATTGGGGTTAGTATATGGGACGAATGTCACCTGTACAAAGCAATGGGAAGCGGACTACGGTTCGAAGCTGACTTCCATTCCCGTTACATCGGCTCTCTCAGCTAATGCCGTACAGATACCGATATACCTGAGCTTTTAAATGGAGAATAATTAGTAGACTGATACAAAATCTGATTAAACGGACAAAAAGTAGGCGAATAAATCAAAAATATTCATATTTAATCTCCCTTTTTGATTGGATGTATTCGTTTTCCCTCCTGTTATTGTGAGGTAGCGAGGCGATGAGCATTTCACCAAGATCGTCCTAACGTGTTGCCACCGACTCTGGCAACAGTAACAGGAAGCTATCAGCCGAGCTTATATATAATAGGACCATTTCCAAACCGCAGCCCTATATAGTTAAATTTTATAATCAGTCGATAAACAATCTGAAAGTTGAATGCCTTTAGGGGTCATACATTTTTATCATCATTTTCAAAAGTCTACAAACAGTACGTTTAGGGGCGGGAGGGGGGGGTTAATGCCATGTATAAGCTTTTGAAATTAATCAAAACGATGACCCAAATTGCTGCCACAGGTCATTATTTGTTTTTCGCCGTGCACTCTCTGAATGNCCTATTTAAAAATAGTCCATTATAACGTATTTCTCATTTCAAATCAAAGGTTAATTACTTCACGTGTATTAAAACCAAACATATTTGTGGTTAATCGGGTTTATAAAAGTAAAATTTAAAAAAGGGGGGGGGGTCTGGAAAAAGTGCACGCTTTATGAATGACCCCTTCGGCCTATTCATCAGGTTCATGTGCCTAAACATTTTACATTTTTATGTACAGACACAGATAATAACCAATTTTTAACTACTTTACAGTATTAATTCTTCACTTCTTAAACCATTAACCTATTACCTATTTAAAAATAGTCCATTATAACGTATTTCTCATTTCAAATCAAAGGTTAATTACTTCACGTGTATTAAAACCAAACATATTTGTGGTTAATCGGGTTTATAAAAGTAAAATTTAAAAAAGAGAGAAAGAGAGACGCATAAAATCTCATTTGTGTTATTTCACAGTGTCTGGCTTTAGGTCCGTACTGATCCTCCTCTGACAGACGTAAAACATTTGCTAACCGTACAAGATCTGAACCTTAGCAAAAATATCAGATCTGCCGTAAATTTGCTGCAATTTTTCAAAAGAAATTTTATGTTCTTGCAAAAAAGCTGCTAAATGGTAGCAATACAGATTTTTCCTGAAAACTCCTGAAAGCAAACTGCAAACATTTAATTTTGCTAAGGGAAGTTCATGATAAGGGCCTGTTTGTCGTGTAAATTCATGTTCGACCTGAAGATATCCCTGGTTACGTTGTGCTATTTGAAAGTGAGCCAATTGAGTTGCAGCGGCTCCCGTCACTCATATACAATGATACTCGAGCGAGATTCACTCTCTTGTCATTTTCTGCATTGTAAGAACAACTTTGTATTTTGGTTTCGTTCTTATTACGCTTGAACGACATGGCTCTGTAACCGCGCGCAAACATACATTTCACTTCGTCGCGGTACGGTTTAGCACTGATGCAGTACAGAAAAAAATTCGACGCATGATTCAAGTAAAAGAGAAGCATAAAGATTGTATAGATGGTAGAATTTCTAACCAGTTCATCGGGAGTGCAAGCGTGGTACACGTCAATTATTCCCGCCTGCATGAAATTACACCCCGTTGTCATAACCCAATACGAAAGAGTCACGAGTATTAACATTTTCGTAATTTCTTTATCTCTGTCTTCGTCGTATTCCGAGCCATTAACAGATAGGTCTGGAATGGGAATGATCGACCTGCATTCTTGATTGTTACGTCGTCGTCGTTCCTTCCATATTTCGTACAATAACCATCCGTTGATGACAGGCAACCCGACAAATGGCAAGATCCAGTAAATTGATAGAGCCACCCATTTGTAGACAGTGTAGAAGGCAAGTGCACCCATATTACCTGAAAAGAAATCGACGATCATGTCGAAATTGACATGTCCAATTTGTAAAAAAAAAACTCACCGGAGAATTAGCGAATTAGCGTAAAATCAATACACTAAAATCGCATATACTTGCCTTCGTACATGTACCTATTACAAGCAAAGCATGGTGAAATGGTGTAAAATTTGTTTATGTATACGTCGTATATTTTCATTAATGATAAAAACCTGTAAAATTTCAACCTAGATAGCCCGCACCCAAAAATTAGCGTAAAATCAAACCACTGGTAATATAAACAAAAATAATAAAAATAAAAATATAATCAAAATGCTCCCTACACCCTCTTCCCCACCTTAATATAGTTTTAATGGCGTATATCCTGATAAAAATCCACCTGGTTTACCTTTTAAAAACAATATGTACATAGAGCCTACTTACCGCAGTTGTTCCCCACACCTTTTCTGCAGTTTTTCTCATGAAGTTCTAACATATCGGTGCCATCGTGATATATATTCCAACAAACATTTTTACAGCATTCTTCAAAGAATATGTCGGAGACAAAGGTGTAGATGTTCAGGAGCACCATAGCCAAAACAATAACCACGATGTACAAACGGGTTCTTTTAATGGAGAACCATCTCTCGTGAGCTGCGGTGTTTAGTTTTCTCATGAGTCTCTCGGCGCTCATTAAAGTTAACGTGATCGCGCTCATTTGTGGTCCACAATATACAGTAAATACAGATATTTTACACAGAGCCACATGTGCAGTCATCACTGGTACGAGGAGCTCGTATTCAATCCAGTAAAAAAATCCGTTCAATATAGTTAAAATGTCAAACACTGCTATTGCAATCATGAACTGACAGGTCGCAACTTGGCGGAGCTGTTTTTGGGAGAAAACACAAATGGATAGGATATTACAAACCAGTCCAATACAATAAATGAGCGGTCGACCAACGTAAATCACATAGTCTGAGTAAGCGGCATCAGTTCTATTCAAGTAGTGTGTACGAATTGTAGCGGTTGTGGCAGATGCATTTGTCCAATAATACACACAATTAAGATAGTCTTCAGGTTTGGGGGTGCAATTTCCGGGTCCCCAGTCAGGGTCGGGTAATGTCTTATCACGAGGCAACGTGCAATACGTCACATTATTCGTCTCTTCCCAGTAAACAGCTGATTCAACATTCCCGTGATATGATACGCACAGTAAAAGTGGTAAAGTTAACAGACATTGTTTTCTTATCGAGGTCCAAAATACTAGCACCATCGTCTTCTGAAATAAATTTATGTTTATATGATATAACCAATTTTAAATGAATCTAAAATATCGCTTAATGAAAAATTGTTTGCATGATTTATTATAATAAATGTGATTAAAAAAGTTGAAATTCAAAATTAAAAAGCTTGCAGATTCTATAATTGATCATGCCCGTTCGTCACAAGTTTAACTCAATTTTCTCGCATCTATTTGGAATAGCGGAAGGGATAGAACAAAAAAAAGACATTTCCTTTCGTCTTACCGGTGTAATTGATCTCACGAAACTTAGATTCTCAAGAAGCGGTGCAATAATGCAGCGAGACACTCGAAAGCGAAGACGTAGCTCTTGGCTCTTCAGGGGATGGCAGTTGAATTCAGAATGATCAACTGATTAGTGACAATTCAACTGATAACGGGATGTGCTCACCTCATGTCCTCCCAATGTTAGGTCACATACAGCTGCAGACCTTTCGGTATCATATATATATCGACAGAGGATATTAATCGGATGAATTATAAACGACGTACTTTATCTTTGTTAATTTGACGTCATACACGCTACGACTGCAGCTATAGATAAAGCACAGCTAGTGGCAGTGATAAGCCAAAACAACCAGTTAACAGAGATTAAATAAAAACTGAAGGGTTATTTCAAATGTTCGCTTGGTTTCTGCAAATTAAGTCACTTAAAGCAGTTTAAAACTGCCACCTCATTCTTTTTTAAAAGTGTGAAAGTAATGTTTTGGAAGTGTCTTGTTTCGACGTCGTAGGCAAAGTCACCAAACTTTTGATAAATAAAAAAAAAACGGCGAAAGTGGAGGGGGTTTATAATTTAATATTTAATAGTATTTCAAATCCAAATAAAGTGAATTTCAAACGATGATTTTTAAAAAAAAATTATCACAAGCACAAAAGTCTTCATTCGCTTATCTCTTGTGGTCGTTTCAGCTGTACAGAGTATAAGGTGATCTATATTAAAGCTATATGGGAATGCTACAGTGTTCTATTATGTAGACATTCGCCAGACTAACATTTTAATTTAATAACATTCTTAAAAGAAGTAGGAAAACCTTTGTGAAAAATTGAAAAGTTTGATGTATTTTTTTCCAGAGCCTACTTGCATTCAAAGTAAAAGCAAGAGAGGAGTACAATGTATAAAAAAAGTTTTTCACAGAACCAGTATTTCATTTTCTAAGCAGGTGGGGAAACAAGGATTAATATGTTTTCCTCGTTTGACTAGAAACAGTAGACGAATAGTCTTTCTATAATACGTTGTGCGTAGATATTGCCAAGCGAAATGGATTTATTATTATTTTTTTATTATTATTAAAATTATGTGGGCCTACATTAACTAACTGGCTAATTGGATTGCTGTGTTCATACCAAACTAACGTTAACGTGCGGCCGCATACTCTAACAACAGTATCAGGAAGCTATCAGCCGAGCTTATGGCCTATATACAATGTAACAGGACCATTTCCAAACCGCGTTTCTTTATCTAGTTAAAAGTTAAAATCTGTTGATCAACAATTTGAAAGCTGAATACCTTTATTACGCCCTGAACATTTTATTTTACATTTTCTGAATTGTGTCTCAAAAAGATAATAACCAATTCTTCACATCTTAGTTATCAATGCAAACCTCTTTAAAAACAACATTATCATGACACACACACACACACACACACACACACACACACACACATTTTTGCTATATACTTCTCATTTAAAATCAAAGGTAAATTACGTACGGTATGTTTCTTAAAACTTAAAAAAAAATATTTTTGGAGGTTAATAAATGTGTGTGTGTGTGTGAGAGAGAGAGAGAGAGAGACGCATAAAATATATATTTATTTCAGTTGCGTTTCATCATGTTTCACGGCGTCTGGTTTCACCCTTTCCTCTTCTGACAAATGTAAGTCATTTGCTTTCCTCACAAGATATAAGTTCGGGCTTATTTGTCGTGTAAATTCACCTGTGGATGTCGCGTTGCGCGATTTTTAAATTGAATCGGTAGAGTTGCAGCTGTCCCTGTCACTCATATATGAAATGATAGTCGATCGGAATTCAAATCTTTTGCCATCTGTATAGTAAAAGCAGATCAGCCGAAGTCTCCTTTTCACGTTTTTCTCCCAAACTACAACGATCTGTTGACAACTGCAAGTGTTAACAATACCTCAGGGCAGTGGGAGATAGTGTGAATTTGATTATAACTGTTGAAAGTATATTTTGAACGCATTATCTAGCCTTCGGCAATTTCCGAAAAGGTTCGTGACAGGTATTATGTATTATCAGATAGCATGATTTGCTCCTCTGTGGTAACGTCCTTGGTTGCCATGCTCGGTGGATTGGGTTCGACTCCCACTCAGTCCCGTTTTTTTTATATTATTGTTATTATTATTATTACTATTATTATTATTATATACTGATCCTCTTCTGACAAACGTACAGCATTTGCTAACCGTACAAGACCTAACCCTTAGCAAAATATCAGACCTGAGGTAAATTTGCTGCAAATTTTCGAAAGGAATTTTATATCATTGCAAATATGCTGCGAAATAGCAGCGATACAGATTTTTCCTGAAAACTCCTGGCCTCAAACTGCAAACTTTTCATTTTGCTAAGGGAAGTTCAGGATTAGGGCATATTTGTCGTGTAAATTCATGTTTGGGGATTATATGTTGCGTTGTGCGAGTTTAAAGTGAGTCAATTGAGTTGCAGCGACTCTTATGATATGATACTCGAACGGAATTCAATCTCTTGTCATTCTCTGCATTATAAAAGCTACTTTGTATTTTTGTTACGATCGTCCGCAACAACATCGCGATAGCTCTGTATCCGCGCGCAAACATACATTTTACTTCGTCGCGGTACGGTTTGGCACTGATGCAGTACAGAAAAAAATTCGACGCATGATTCAAGTAAAAGAGAAGCATAAAGATTGTATAGATGGTAGAATTTCTAACCAGTTCATGGGGAGTGCAAGCGTGGTACACGTCAATTATTCCCGCCTGCATAAAGTTAAACCCCGTTGTCATAACCCAATACGAAAGAGTCACGAGTATTAACATTTTTGTAATTTCTTTATCTCTGTCTTTGTATTCTGAGCCATCAACAGGTAGATCTGGCATAGGAATGATCGGCCTGCATTCTTGATTGTTACGTCGTCGTCGTTCCTTCCATATTTCGTACAGTAACCATCCGTTGATGACAGGCAACCCGACAAATGGCAAGATCCAGTATATCGACAGAGCCACCCATCTGTAGACACTGTAGAAGGCAAGTGCGCCCATAATACCTGAAAATGACATCAATGATCAAGACAAAATTGGCGTCATATTGTGCAACGATATGTGGAATATAATAGAGACATCATTGTACGCGATGCAAGGCTTTCCCCAGGGGGGCGTCCAGCCGTTATTTGAACGGCCACTTGCTTCAGAAGACGGCCTATATTTTCAAAAATGGCTGGATGGCTTAAGAAATTATTGGGAAATGATACTATATTTGTAGTTGGGCTCCAAGAAATCAGTGACCAAATTACAAAGTAACATTTTGGATTCCCTGTACCCCAAATCCTGGGGAAACCCCTGACGTGATGGCTGATAAAATAATCATCTCCTCTACTTGTAATAACNGAAACTGTGCGGACAGTTCCGTTTGGGGCAATAATCTGTCTGGCAATGTCTGTCTTTTTCGCGCCATTCTGGCACAGCTTAACGATTTTGATAAACAATGCTTAACTCATTTTACGCACTGCAAAACAGACCGCTTGCATGCAAAATTTTAAATTCTTCTATGCAATGGTTGCCGACATATGGATACATTTTTGACAGAACCATGCCTCGCCATAGCCAAGCTTTGGCCAGCCCAAAGGAGCACTACCCAATTAAATCACTGCATATTACACAATGCAGCAATGCATCAGACTTGATAATCAGTTAATTGGTAGAGACACACCTGTTTTCACACTTCTCCTGTCATATATCTTAAATGAGATCTGAGTTTTTTCAATAAAGAACGCATTTTTACCTAGGTATACCTTTAAAACTGAAATATTCCATATTAAATGTCAAGTCTGTATTATTATTATTGTTGTTGTTGTTAATCCCGATGAATTACACCTTAACACAAGAAACGTCATTATAAATAAATGACTCATCACGGAATGTCCATCCTCGGGAAGACGACGCTTAAATTTCTGATTATCCATTGCCACGTTGATATTGATAATCTTCCAGACCAATATTCCCATAATCAGAGACAAAGTGTGTCTTATCCAACAGGTCTAGCTATATCTTATTCTATCTGAAAAAACCAATTTGCATGGTTTGTTACATGAAAATGCTGTATCATCCTTTCCGCCTTGCCGAATATGAACGGATAAACGAAAAAAGTGTGTGTGTGTGTGTGTGTGTGTGTGTGTGTGTGTGTGAATTTACTAAACATTTAATAGTAATTTAAAATAAAATACATTTTAAATTATACAGTTAAAATTATATCAGCCATCTGACACATAAAAACTGAACCAATTTTCTCAACATTAGTTTCAATTTATATACCTGTATCTGAATCAACGCCTTGATATTCTAAATCAACTTTCTAAAGATTAAATCATTCATATCAGTCTTTTAAGAATTTAAAAATCGTGTCCAATTCTCACGAACTCTATGATAGTAATGGCATCCACCACAAGAGGAGTCACTTAATTTTACTCCTAGGCTGGTAGTCCATGTCTGCCAACTTTACTTTCAGCCACTGATATCTGTCGTCTACATTTGAGCGGTGTAAAATGGGTAATATATGGCAGACTGGAGGGACGGTCATGGAACGGATCCAGTCTCTTCACAGTCGTGTTTGTACATGTTTGTCGACTTCTATCAAGTATCTTGAATTTTACAGAAGCTTTTTTTTACTTTTTAAAAATAGAATACAAGGTCTGTATGTGTCAGAACGCAGCCATGCAGTCACAGACTATTTGATGTAGGCCTAACCCTAGCAGACATATGCTGGCGAAAGAAAAAAAAATCAGATTAAAAATATTTACTGATAGAAAATGCAAGAAGAACTGTTACTACCCACACCGTCCTCAATTTGAGGCCGAAATACCTTTCAGTGACTGGTGTTAAAAATGAATTTTGATTAAAAAAACACTTCCTGCTATATTACTTAACTTCGTCGGAGGGTAAATTACAGGTATAGAGCACACGCCTGAAAATGTCCGCAAATCATTTTGTCTGACTATCAACTTACTGCGGGCAAAATATTTTATGTACACAGCGGTCTATAACATACTGGAATCTTATTCTTCCTTAACCTTTTCATTCGCAATTTCACAGTTAGGCCAATATATATGACATGTATTGCATAACAAGGCCTTTTCTTGCTCTCTACAGTTATCTTCGAGTCACCCAAAATAACTTTGTGGTGAATAGTCTCGTGAACTAGATTTTGCAGGCATGCCCTTCTATAGGCGTTTCCTGATGGGGCAACATACCTAGGTTAACTGTGGCGTTTCAGGGCAACCGCCTGTTCTCAGGAAGTTGTTCACCCGTGAGTTGGTCAGGAGGCCTCGTTATAATTTTAAATTTATGCTCGGATGTCGGTTTATCCGACGCAAATTGCTTTGTAAAAGAATAATTGGAGGCATTAACATAACGGAATTCTAATAACACTTACATTACAAACTATCTGCAATTTTTGCGATTATAATCTCTTTTGACGCTCGACTGCCATATTGATTGGTTTATACGACTTTAGAATATTTCACTAGGTTACCATAATGCAATGAATACATAAAGATGGATAGATTTTATGTAAATGAACTGACCTCTGCCAAAGCATCTGAATTCTCATTATAATTGATAACCGCTTATTAAAACGATATTTAAATAATTAATTCGGATTTAATCACTATTACTTATGAATAAACTCATTAAACCGATTTAATAACAAACCAATTTATTTATTAATCACCAAGAGCCCATTTCTTTAACAATTATTTTATGATAAACAATTAGTCAATAATTAACCAATTGACTACTTAATCACCAAATTCTAACCCATTTCCTTCTTACACGGTATACTAAAAATTCAAGAAAATCCCTCCATAACTCGTTGTTGCTGACACTTTTTGCATAATGTTGCTAACAGGCAAATAAAGACTAATAATAAACCACCGATAAAGTTCCTTATACAATAGTAAATTTTTAATTTTGTTCATTTTTATCAAAGCACTTTTCTTAAGACAAAGACACCATGCAATCTACCAACCGGCGTGCGTTCGAGTATCTCATAATTTGCAGTGATCTGTTCAATCCGAGCTTCGCCATATATACGATGTGCATTAAATACCAACCAGCCCTCCGGAGTGCCAAAGTTGACTGGTATACCTAGATAAAACAACGCACCAGGCTTAAGCATGCACCATATTTGAGCTGCTGCCTCCAGGTCGCCATTTGGATTGATGGGGTCCCCGTAGCGACCAAGACCAGAGTGTTCCAAAGAAGAAAACGAAGCAGCAAAGTCCATTAGGAGCGATTGGTTCTTGGTGATTTCATCCGCTAAATCTGACATAAACTCGAAAGACAGCTGTGGGTGGTCAAAGAAAACAGGGTTGTAATCAACAGTTGTCACGTGTTTCACACCAAGATTTAATAAAATGACTTCAACCCAAGGATTTATACTTCCAATAACCATTCCTGACTTGCCTTTCAATTGATCTTGGTATTTGGAGAGAACCTGCTTGTAGCCAACGCCCTGTAGGTCATATTTGGCGATATTTTTCACTTTATCATCAGCCAGGAGAGTTTTGATTTCTTCCAATTTACGGTGTACTTTTCGGTCCGTACGTGTGCCATCCTTGTACTTAGGACTCAACACCAAACTGCCATTCTGTGTGAAATCCAGAAGCAGCTCTGGTGGTGGCTGTCTCAAGGGCGGTATGTAAACTTTCCCGGGCGGATTCTTTAATCTGAGAAAAATATTCTTACAGTTGAATTCTTTTCTTAGGAAAAGGTCTTCTTTTTTCTTATGCATGGAAAAATTGCAAATTTGGCCACAAGGTGGGAAGGAATGGGTGCTGTCTGTATCATCCCATATATAACCAATCTTGCTCTGTCCTGAAACGGTAACACAATTACTAAATGTTTATCATATACTCTATGCTAGGATGATTTAATGCCTCTTGTAGTTTCCTGTATATTGAAAGAATTATCTACATAAATAAATATTGAATACTTTTTCAAATAATTTTTTCTTCGGTTCGCCCTTTTATTATGACTGATAAATGAAAGCAAGAATGAATTTAATTATCTCCGTAGTGTCACTGTGGTACCAGTTCTTAATTCGATCTACCTTAATTAAACAGACATAATACATGACTGATTTTTAGTCGAGCAACAACCATTTAAATCCAAAATATTTATTAAAATAGTAATTATTATTATTTTTTGGCTGCTACCAGGGCTCTTAAGCGTTTCCTGAAATTAAAGCAAGGATAACATTCCAGGCATCGGTCAGAGCTTTTTCAATTTGATTCAGTTTTGTTGTAGGACCAGATGCCTTTGTTTCAGGAAGTAACGGCTTCCCTCAAAATGTCAATTTGGTTCAAATCTGGGGTTTTGATGGACGCGGTAGCTACCCATTCTCTTGGTTCTGCAAGTAATTTGCGAATACAAGTGCTCTGTGTGGACAGACGTCAGCATCTTGAAAAATAAAATGGTTCATAAGGTACCCTCTTACAAATGGTAGTGTGTAGCACAGTCAGGTGTTTGTCGTGGCTCAGATTTTTTATCGTTAACTTAAACATTAGTGCTTTGGTCCCTATGTGAATGCCACTCCAAATACTGATGCTGTCACCGACCCCAGTCACTAGGAGAGACACACACTCGTCGTCTTAGGCCTATTCAGGATATCTGTGATTTCTTGTTTCACCACCTTGGCGAAACTTCTTCATCTTCATCGCAAAAACCACATGGCTCCAATGGACATGACTCCAATGGACTGGAACTGGAACCGTTGATGGTTCAAAACTCAATCAGAGATATAGACGACGATACTGTGCTGTTCACGGTGGCTTCCTCAGAAGTTGTCTGGTAAAGTCACCTGTTTTTACCGTGCTCTGTCGAAGAGGTCTTTTCCGATTGAAGCTATTGGTCTTTGAAGATCAACCCTACTGAATGCAATCAGTTGCCAGATGAACACCCCCCTTCTGGTCGTCGAGTAGAATACAGAAAATTGGTTATTATAAGAGTACTTTGGAAACAATAGGAGGCGTGTTCCCCGACGGGGATGAGCCCGTGCAACCATAAACCAACCCAAGAGTAACATCCAATAAAATAACCGCATAGAACGTAATGCAGGAGTGCTAATGACAAGGTAGGCATTTAATTAGTACTGACAAATCTGAGTACACAATTCTCTATTCAAATATCTCATAAGAGAGAAAAGATCTTTTTATAAACAATATGTTTTATACACAGACTTACCTCTTAAACTGAATTCTATATTAAATGTCAAGTCTGTATTTCTTTAAAGTAAATTAATGCATGATCATTTTTTTTCGAAATAATCAAATATAAAACTTGATGTATGAATTTTGTTCTGACAGGAGGGTAAGTTGATTTTATAATATGAGAATGTTCTGATACCTGTTTGTATTATGGACATGACACGAATCTACATATTAAAGGGATAATAACTCTTCGTTTTGGTCAAAAAATGAATTTTCCTGGAGTAAACAACAATTTTCCCATATTTACCAATGGTTAATGAATCCATTTTTACATTCAAACTTAGTCCCTGTTTTTCTTTCTAAAAAGTTTGTTTTTGTGTTATAATCTCTTAAGAGATTACAACAAAGTACAGCCATCAATGGAGGTCACGTGGTCTAAAGACAAGCTCAGATATCAGAATAATAGCTATAACTGCCGTATTTGTGGTATATCATATTTCTAGGAGTTGTTTACAATTGTTTTTATTGTGAAATATTGATCTCATACGAAGAGTTATTATCCCTTTAATATGCTCATTGGAATCACATTGGAATTACAATTTTTGTACAAAATTAAAATTGACATACCTTCGGTCAATTGAACCTGCCCGCTGTTGCTGTTTTGAGGAACCTGAAAAAAATACAAATGTAAAATAATCCCAATTATATAATACTAGCAAAAAAGAAAATAAAATTCAAGTTTTTGTCTCCTCCACAGTGTTTTAAATGCTTAAATATGAACGTTAGTATTGTCATTGTATTCAGTGACAGAATAGCATCTCCGTCCTGCAGTAGGCCTACAGCACTGACACGTTTGGGTTGTTCTAGACAATGTCTAGCCCGAGAGTTTAATACTTCCTATCCGGACACAAATGAGTCAAAAGTCGTACGTACATCATTCAGTTGTCCACAGTCAATACTATTGGACACTGAAATCAGAAAAACAAGTTTAGGAAACTGAATCCATGCTGACATCATGGCACGGCTGTCGACTCTGGACAGGGGTCGTGCCATTGGCCATTGCCGTTCAGGGGCAGATCCAGAGATATTTTCTGACAGTCTTCTTATTATCTTTGTTGATCCATCTTCAATTTTTGACAAAAAAATAATAATAAAACCCGTCAATGTTAACTTGAAAATCTGACTGTCTTCCGGAAGACCCAGAAGATGGCCCCAATCCGCCCCTGCCGTTGACACAGTGTTATGGTTCGGGAAGGCATAATTGATAATTCCCATACAGAACTCGTACTTATTGCATCATTCATGCATCAGAATCAAACTCTATGCCAGCTCTAGCAGGACAAGGCCTCTGTCGCCATGCTGGCAGACTGGCACAGGCAGACTTGCAGTAAAAGCACATCGAGACTCTTCTTATTGAAACCGTTAATGTCTTTCATTGAGCATACCTACAGGTATAATGCATTGGGCAGACTACTGCATAACTGCCAGCACCTGCCTGCCACAGTCAGAGTTAAGAGCTGAACTGTTGAAAGAATCGAGAAGGGTGACTAGTTAAACAAAAAAACTTGAGTTTTATTTTATTATATTTTATTTTATTTATTAATTTTTTGCTAGTATATAAAAGCTCAATTTATTCTGACAACCACCTAAACATCATTGTACCTAATGTATTACGTGCAAGATAATACACGTGCTTTTACCTTGAAACAAAAGCAAGAATTTTAATCAAATATAGTTATTATATACATTGTTCAAATAGTCAAAGAAGAGTATTTAACTTCATGCTGTCAGCTTTATAAATAAAGTAGGCCTACCAGGTGTTTCTTGACTGATGCAGCGTATCTTTGCTTCCAGGTATAGTTCACAACCAGCAGTAACATGATTATACTGATTGTAAAGAGTGAGAACAGGTTTCGTCCTAATGTTCGTCTCATATTCAAATGTCGCACCACGGCAAATAACCTCGGATCACAACCTAAAATTTTAAAACAATAAATACGTAAACAACTAGAAGCAAGCAGCCATTTACTCCCGAGCACTGTTTCACAAGATGATTGGACCATTGGTCAATTTCGGTTCGGAATAAAAAAGAAATATTTGACTTAAGATAAGGCCAGCCTCAAGAACAATATATGTCCATCTATGCTTTGTGCAGCGGGTTGTCTCAGATTGTATAAATACACATGATGAATAATCTTTGTGAAGCACAATGTGGAAATGGCCCTCACCAACGATACATATTCTGTCTAATTTCGCGTAACAGAAACTGTTTCCCTACAAATTTCTTTAATTTCTTTCATCGATCGCATCTAGATTGCTACTTGATGACTGGAGTCCTGCTACACGACTAACAGAATGCAATTTATGTTATAATTACCCATAGCATACAATATATGCACACAGGTTGATATAGGTGGAGCAATTTTCACCGTATGACAGATTTCAATATTTCACTATGTCGAAGAAAGCATTTCGTTTAGAAGCAAAAATTGTATTCCCATTGAACAAGGACAAGGTGTGTAACTGCTTGTTGTGGTCTTGGTCTTCTTCGGCCCATTAAACAGGTCAGGAGCTCAGCTATTGACTCCCTGGTTTTAGAGACAGTTTGTATGCCTTCCGATGGACAATATAATTTAATACCGGTACATTTAGCTTGGCATCTGCACCACATTTGATGGGTTCAATTTAATCAAGGAAAATACATGGAGTCATTCTGTGTTCGTATTATTTTGTTCCTTGTCTTTATACAACATTGGTAAAAAAGGTTGTCCCACCCCCATTACCATGTACTTTTATTTACAAATGATCACCTCACAGCTGTAAATTGTTAGAAATAATGCTTTTTATTTCAGATACCGTGTCTAACATGATTAATGGGTAACAAAAATACAAAATAGTGGTGAAAATATACACATTTTATACCATTTAGTAAAATTTATAAGAGGTACCCCCTCAAATCCACTGTTTCACTGTGACTTCTACAGATTTAAAGAAATGTTTATTAAATTAAAAAGACGCCATCAAATGTCACCAAATTCACACACAATTAGCATTAGGTTGTGCTCGTTAAAGGTCAGCTGCCTAACAGCGTGTGCGTCTACCGTGTACCGCGATTATCTCCTGTAGACGGCGCGAAAAGTCTTCAACACGGGTAACAATTTTGTTATGTAGGATATTGTCCCATTCATCCTAAAGAGCGTGGCGGAATTGGTGAAGATTATTTAAGAATTGGTTCTCCTCTGCAATGCACATTCCAATTACTGCCACAGGTGCTCAGTAGGATTAATATCCACTGAGTAAGACGAAAACGTAATGTCCTATTTCGAGCCCACACTTGAATTAAGCGTACTAAAAAATTACATGTATACACGTTTAGGACATTCCTTCCATATGCATGAAAAATGTACATTTCAATACTGTTATTAACTTTAAACATCAACATATGAGATACATTTGCTCAAAACCTTACCTTAGCTAGTCAGATTGTTACAGCAAATCCACGTCGTCTCGATAGATTGAATTAACATCAGAGAAATGATTCAATGAAACCTGCCGCATCTGTATTATAAGCACCCTCAGATACAATAAAACACATGTACAAATTTATGTAGCCAAATGTTAACAAGCACAACGAAGCTCTGTTTTTGCTCCAAAGTAAATAAGATTGATAATTGTCATTTATTAATGACGAAGCAAATAAATACGTAGTTACAAAACTGGGGAGATAATATAACATCTCCCCAACTATATAAGTGCCATAATATAAAATTAATAAAGTGTGTAATAAGTGTAACCAAATTAATGACGAAAATTATAAGTAATAACAACAGGGTTTTCAACTAACTAATGCCAACTAGGAAGATGCATTGCCCACTATGTAACTAATTTTGTTTCTTATTACACAAATAATATATTTGTGGTGAGTAACTAACCTTTATTCACAGGCAATTCGAGAAAAATCCAAGATGGCCCCCATATCAAAGGAATACTAGTATACACATAGGGCTTCTTCTGCCATGGAGATATAATATTAATTGATAAATTAGGTTTGTTTCTGAGTATTTTCCACATCTTTTTAATTCACATAATACATATGTGATGAGAATGTTATGTGAATCCTTTTTGAAAACAAAACCAAATGGCTGCCATTAGCCATATAAGGTGGGGTTCAGTTAATACCTGCGAGAGATAGGCTTACAAATAAAATGAAGCTGAATTCAGTT